AAAAATAAAAATTTCAGTCAAAACGATCACATGACCGTTCTGATGCAGTTGCAGGCTGCAGCCTGCAGTCAGCGCCTGCTGCTGCAGGAACTATAAATATATATTTTTTAATTTTTTTAAAAAAACCCCTGGCCCGGTTTGCCTTGAACTGGCTCGGACCGATTTCAGGTCCGGGTAGCCCGTGATTTGGCCCACACGGTTCATGGGCCGAATCGCGGACCGGGTCGCCTCTAGGCCCGCCCATCTCGACATCTCTATGATTAGATAGTGATAGAAAATTCTCACTAGTACCACCTCAACAGATCTATCAAACTTGTCCCTATGTTTAGTATCATTCTTTGAGAACCTTCTGTCATTATTTGGAGATTGCTGAGCTGATTGATCCAGAGGATCCGACCTCTGTGTTATCAATACCTTACCACGAAAACTTTGACCTTTGAGCAACCTGCACATTTTAATAAATACAATATTCAAATGTAGATAAATAAAAGGAGAAAAACACTTAACTGAATTTATTTATCATTGCACCAGGAATATAACCACTCAACAAAAGACAATTCTAAGCAGAACAAAACGGATGGTATTTCTTTTAGTATCTGGGAAATTGATGAACATTTGGTGATGTTTAAGTTGAGCTATTGACATTATCTTAAGATTTAAGTCTTTAATATATTTTGGTCCTTTATAAACTGTAGAGCATACAATGATGGAAATAGGCAAATAAAACAATAAATCACTTGTAACGAAGTTGTGCGTAAAACAGCAAAAGGAATGCAAAGCCTGGTTATTGAAAATTTAGGCATTTTCACCAAAAGTTTATTAAAATCTAAGGAGTATCAATCACTTTCAATATCTGAAGGAAATGGAGTTGCCTATAAACAAGATGCAAGCAACATTTAAGAATTTGATCAAAATTTTGAAAGTGGGGATCAGTGAACCCAAGTTGAAGAAGAATTTTTTTTAAAAGGTCCAAGTTGAAGACGAATAAAAATGTTAAAAGAAATTTAACAATAGATCACATAATTCACCGTTAAGAACCTGAAACAATCCATCGAAACTAATCAATGCATACAATTTTAATTGCAATATGGGCACACACAAATCACTGTTCCATGATTCCATAATTTACCGGAAAGGAAAAAAAATACAAAACTTCACATACATCTACAATGTAAACAACCAAATCTGAATTTAGATCATTAATTATCAGCTAACANTAATCAATGCATACAATTTTAATTGCAATATGAGCACACACAAATCACTGAAAGTAGATCATTAATTATCAGCTAACAAACACAATAGCAGTTAAATTAATCCCCAGATCAAAATTCATATGAATTCTCAAATTAATTCTATTTGGTTTTTCAGTATTAATTTTCAAATGGGTATTCAAATCTGAACCAAAACAGAAGAAACCCGTGACCAACTGGGAAATGCGATTTCCTTTGGTAACAAAATTCTGGGTTAATAAGCAGTTAATTACTGTTGGATCTAACGAGTACAAAATTAAACACATACCCTTGAACATTTTTTAGAGTTTGATTGAATCTTGAATCCAGCGTAGAAGTAACCTTGTTCCGTTCGTCTTCTTTACTAAAATTGCTACTGCTGCTGCTGCTGTTGCTCCTCAAGGACATGGTTAATGGCACTGTGCCTTTTTCTCTCTCAATAAGAGATTGAAACTATTTGAAAGGTGAAAATTACAGTCAATTACGACAAATGTAATTTATATTACGAATTGTTTGCATGATGATAGTACTGCATAATCATCAATCTTTGTACTATAGTTTTACAACACTCTCCTTTTGATAATTATTTGCACAATAACTATCTCATGAAACCTTATTTGGCAAAAAAATTCGATTGGACAAAAATGCTAACAAATAAAAAAAAAAGTACAAATAATTTGGAGTACTAAAATATTGCATCATTAAAACTTTGTCAAGAGAAATCGCATTTATTTCTTGTATGTCAATATATTCAATATCCCAAATTTTGGTGAAGTATGTCACATATTGTCTTGTATAGTCTTCAAATAACACCATCTCTATATGAGGTATTTATCAATCTTTGATAATTGTAGTAACGTTGCAACAAAATGTACTTTTTACGGCGTGCAATGCAGGCTGTAAAAACCTCTTTACAACGTGCGGCTGCACGCCATATAAAGTCATGCCGTAAAAAGTGGTGTACCTTTTACGGCGTGCATAGTACGCCGTCTATGGAACACCGTAAATGTGTTTTACGGCGTGCACCT